CGGCGGGTTCGGGTTGTCTCCCCGGAACTTGGGGTGCGGGCGGCGGGCCTGCCCGAGGTTCTGCGTTAACGGTCGCGGGACGTGTGGGGCTCGGGTGCCACGTGGACCCCGTTTCCCCGGGGGGGCGCCCCCCGAACTCCGCGCAGCCGTCGGACAAGATGGAGGCGACGCGGGGGCCCCGATCACCCCGCGCGGTAAATGGGCGCTGGCGCCGGGCTGCGCGGTCGTGAACCCTCCCGGGGCCGCCGGGGACCGCTGACCCCCGAACCCACTGTCCACCCGCTGGGACACATACCGATCGGGGCCCCAGCTATCCGTACCCTCTGCATCCGGGGACCCCCACCGTCCGTACCCCGGGCTGGTGGGGCCCCCTGCTCCCCATACCCAGTGGCCATCAGCCTGGACCCCCGGTGTCGGGGAGACTCGAGCCGTCCAGCAGCCCGATCTCCCGTGGGCTGGCGCCCTGGGTGACAGAGGCCCTGACTGCTGGCCTTTGTGTTGAAAAGGGCAAGTCACTGGCCTTCCCAAAACGAGCTAGAAACTGAGAGTCTTGTGCTGATGGCCCGGGAAATAGGGAAGCGGTGATGGTGGCCAGAAAGAAGTGAGACTGGACGGCGGGTGGGGCCCAGCGCTGACCACTCCCAGCACCGACGGTGCCTTCTCTCCTGTAAACACTGGGATCTGCAGGCAGGAGGGGCAGGGCCAGGCTGGAGCCAGCGCCGGGCGGTGAATTCAGACACTGAGCTGTGGCCGCTGACTCCCTTCTCTTCTGCAGTTCCAGGGTCTCTTCCAATTGCTGTAGTAACCTGGGTCCAGGGCCTCAGTGGTGCTCCTGATGCCCCTCACCCACCCCTGAAGATCCCAGGTGGGCGAGGGAATAGTCAGAGGGATCACAATCTTTCAGCTAATTTATTTTACTCTGTAAGTACACGGGGCCCCTGCACCCCGGGTCTGGGGAGGGAAAGGGGGAATCCCATGCACTAGGCTTGTGGGGATGGTTCTCATTTACTTTGTAAGAATCCGGGGTCCCCAGGGAGACAACCTGGTGTTTTTGCTGCCCCACAGTGCAGTTCATCTAACCTTTGTGGAACCCCAGGGTGGCCTTCCAGGGGCGTCCCTGTGTGGTTTAGATGGTTAGCTGGCCCGGGGTTAGTTGCACTGAGGTGCGAGTGTGGGGTGTTCTCCTGCATTCCAGGATAATCGGCTGAATGTAACAGAGGAACTAGCGTCTAACGACAAGACGAGAATTCTTAATGTCCAGTCCAGGCTCACAGATGCCAAATACATCACCTGGAGGGCTGTGCTCAGCAGCAGCGGCCTCTACGTCGACCTCCCAGGTGGTGCCCTGCCGGAGGGGAGCAAAGACAGGTGAGTGGGGGCCCCTCATGCCGCTCAGCAAGGCAGGCGGGGCTCCGCGAGGTCCAGGCAGTGGACTTGATCTGCAGTCATTCTGCTCTCGAGGGGTGTTAGAGGTTAAAGCAGGCTGGTAGAAATGGGTGCAGGCCAGCAGTGCTCCAGGCACAGGACAGTCCAGAGGATCTGCTGGACGGGGCCTGGGCCGGGTGCCCGTGGGGTTGGCGTGGGGGTGCGGGCCTGTCCTGACACCCCTCTCTCCAGTCTCGCAGTTCTCCTTGAGTTTGCTGAGGAGCAGCTCCGCGTGGACCACGTCTTCATCTGCTTCCATAAAAACAGAGATGACAGAGGTAAGGTCTTCCGGCTGCGCTTTGTGCAGACTCTGGCAAAGCTGATGTGTCCCCAGGTGGGTGTGGAGCCTGGGCTGGGTCTGCGGGGCTCCTGACAGTCGCCATCTCTCTCTCTGTCCCACAGCCGCCTTGCTCCGGACCTTCAGCTTTCTGGGCTTTGAGATTGTGAGACCAGGGCATCCCCTTGTCCCCAAGAGACCCGACGCCTGCTTCATGGTCTACACGCTTGAGAGAGATTCCTCCGGGGAGGACTAGTGGCCCCAGCCGCCATCACAGGAGGCCTGGTCACCCCAGGTGTCCCTCCTTCCTGGGTGTGTCCGCATGTTGTAATTGTGCAAATAAATGCTCACTCCAAATTAGCAGTATATTTCTTGAAGTTTAATATTGTGTTTGTGATACTGAAGTATTTGCTTTAATTCTAAATAAAAGTTTCTATTTTACTTTTTTATTGCTGGTGTAAGCTGATTAAGGTTGCCCTGGGAGGAGGCCCTTCCTTCGGAAGACTCTGCCCAGGGCTCAGTGTGAGAGATAGGTGTTAACCTGCCCTCTGTTGCTCAAATCCAATAAAGATGATTCGCCTCCAAGCCGTGCTGCCTCTGTGCTGTTGAGGGCTGGGCTGGGGCCGCATGTGGTGTAGACGCCTGTGAGGGTGCTGCAAGGCTGGGGGGTGGGTGGCCTGGCCCTGGGATGCAAAGGTGCTGAAGCCCCTTCAGAAGGAGGTCAGTCCAGCACTCGCCTTGACCTTTCCTCAGGTACACGCATGGCACCCCCGGGGTTCCAGCACCAAGTCCCTTCTGCAGGCCAACTTCCTACCCATTATGGTAATAAGTTACTGTTAACCCATACAATTCACATTGTATTACGATTCTGGGACCAAATTTCACCTCAGTTCTCCACTGTGAGCATTAAACTCCCGGCCTCTGAATTTCCCATCTTTAAACTTAACTGATGAAGCCATAGTGTTTGCAGTTCCTTCCTGTGGACAGTGAATAAGGACCAAAAAAGAATCGATAGTTATGTGTGAACATAGATTACTGAACGTTCCTGGTCGAGGCCTCGTGGGAAGTAACTCCTTAGTTGTCCTGCCAACACACAGGTGGTAGTAGGGGTTATGTGCCGTTAGTCACTTGGAATTCACAGTGACCCTCAGTACAACAGTCTTAAACTCTGCTCTATCCTGTGCCAACTTTATTGTCTGACACCTACCCCCATTACCCCAGTGACTTGAGTCAATCCATCTCACAGAAGGTCTTCCTCTCCTGCGCTGTCCCTAACCCCTCCCAAACATGACATCCCTCTGCAAGGACCAGTTGCTCCTTGCTACATGTCCAAAGTATCAGGAAGCTTCAGAATCCTTTCCTCCAAGGAGCGGCCTGGTCTCTCCAGGACTAACCTGTTCTCCAGGCAATCCTGTTCAATACTCTTCCAAAGGCATCAATTACACCACCCTAGACTCTGCAGTTTTCTGACGCATAGCAAGTAATTACAAAGGGTGGTCTAGATCAGGTGCATCTTAGTTTCCAGACATCATTGCTCTTCAGTATTCTGGAGAGGTCTCTGACAGCAGACTTTCCCATCACAATTCGTCTTAATTTCCTGACTGCTGGTACCGAGTGTTGACTGGATGGAGTCAAGCAAAGTAAAGCTGTGAACGATCTCAGTCTCTTCCCATCTATCATGATGCTGCCAATCAGCCCAGTGGTGACAATCTTCTTGATGTTGAGCTATCAGGCTGCAGCCCTTGAACTTCTGCAGCAAGTGCTTCAGGTTCTCAGTCTCAGCAAGCAGAGTTATATCATCAGCATAACACAGATTGTTGATGAGTCTTCCTCCAGTCCTGATGCCACACTTCTCACAGAGCCCAGACTCCCTGATAATCTGTTCTGCATATAGATTGAAAAGGTAATGGAGATAGGACACATCCCTGACGTACACCTTTCCCGATTCTGAACCATGCAGTGTTTCCTTGCTCTGTTCTGACAACTCCCTACTGGTCCAAGTATAGGTTTCTCATTAGCACAATCAAGTGTTCTGGGATTCCCATTCTCAGAGTCAGCCACAGTTTGTTATGATCCACACAGTCAAATGCCTTTGCATAATCAATGAAGCACAGATATTCCTCTGACACTTCCTGCTTTCAGTCAAGATCCATCTAGCATTAGCTACAATATCCCTAGTACCATGGTCTCTTCTAAATCCAGCCTGCACTTCAGGCAATTCTCTGCTGATGTGCTGTTCCTGTCGTTTTTGGATAATTTTCAGCAGAATCTTGCTTGCTTGCATGTGATCTTGATGATATTGTTGGATAATTTCTGCATTCTGTAGGGTCACCTTTCTTTGGAATGGGAACAAATACAGACCTCTTCCAGGTAGCTGTCCTCCAGAATTCTTGGTACAACTTGGTAAATGTATCCGGGAAGCATCTGTTTGTTAAAATATGTCAACTGGTATGCCGTCAATTCCTGGGGCCTTGTTTTTTTGCCAATTCTTTCAGAGCACCTTGAACTTCATCACCACAGGCTCTTGCTCATATGTTGTTTCATGAAATTCTTCTGTGTCTGCCAGTTCCTTCTGGTACAATGACTCTGAATACCCTTTCCATCTTCTTTTAATGCTTCCTGGATCATCTAATATTTTGCCAAGGCAATAAAGTATTATAATGAAACATGCAAAGAACTGGAGTCAGAAAATCAAAAGGGCCGAACTTGTTTGGCATTTAAGCTGAAGGAGCTGAAGAACAAATTCAAGCCTCAAGGTGCAGGACTAAGGATGCTTTGGGAGGGTCAGCTCCACCAGCTGCTCCTCAGAAATCAGTTTAGGTTTTCAAGCGCTGTCAAGTCAACTCTTCACTCAAAGCTCCGCTATGGACAAGAGCTCTGAGCCTGCCCTACTCCAAGCCAGTCTCCCTGGCTCACTAATCCCATTTCCCTGGAGCATCAACAACTGATTCTGAATTGACGGCTCATAAACAACATGGTGGTTGTGTTGTTATTTGCCATCAAGTCGCTTGCGACTCATAGCGACCCTATGTACAAGAGCCCTAAACGTCGTTCTAGTTCTAACCTGTGCCAACCTCGCCGTCTCAAACACACTCATTCCCACCACTCCACTCACAGAATCGATCCATCTCATCAAGCGTCTTCCTCTCCTTTGCCGCCCCTCCACTCTGCCAAACATGACGTCCCTCTCCAAGGACCAGTTCCCTCCTTGCAACATGCCCAAAGTATGTCAGACGAAGCTTCAGAATCCTTGCCTCCAAGGAGCATTCCAGCTTCAAAACCTGTTTGTTCTCCTAGCAGTCCATGGTATATTCAACACCCTTCTCCAGCACCACAGCTCAAAGGCATCAATTCTCTTTCTATCATTCCTAGTCACTGTCCAATTCTCTGATGCATAGCACGTAACTGCAAAGACTATAGCTCGGATCAGGCACACCTTAGTCTCCAGCCTGACGTCGTTGCTCTTCAGTACTCTTGAGAGGTCCCTCACAGCTGACTTTCCCAATGCAATTTGTCTCCTGATTTCCTGGCTGCTGTTACCAAGAGTGTTGATTGTGGAATCAAGTAATCTAAAACTATTAACTATCTCAATCTCTTCACCATCCATACTGATGCTGCCAATTGGCCCAGTGGTGAGAATCTTTGTTTTCTTGATGTTGAGCTTCAATCCATATTGTAGGCTGCAGTCCTTGACCTTCTGCAGCAAGCGCTTCAGGTCCTCCTCAGTTTCAGCAAGCAGGGTTGTGTCATCCGCATAACACAGACTGTTAATAAATCGTCCACCAATCTTGACCCCACATTTCTCCTCATAGAGCCCAGCCTCCCTGTTCTGCATATAGGTTGAAAAGGTATGGAGATAGGATGCATCCCTGGCGTACGCCCTTCCCAATTTTGAACCATGCAGTGTTCCCTTGCTCTGTTTTGACGACTGCCTCCTGGTCCAAGTATAGGTTTCACATTAGCACAATCAAGTGTTCTTGGATTCCCATTCTCAGAGTCAGCCACAGCTTGTTGTGATCCACACCAGAAAAACAAGCATCGGTCTTTCAAGAAGAGTAACCTTCGAGACAAGGATGGTGAAACTCCTCACATACTTTGAGCATGTTGGCTTTTTCATTGGGCAAGGTGGAGAGTGAGTTAAAAGGAGGAAGGTAGGTCCTCAAGACTCACACAGTGGCCACAACAATGGCCTTGAACATGACAGCTGGGGAGGATGGCACATTAGGGCAAAGTTCACATCTGCTCACAGGGCCGCCCTGAGCCGTACTGGATTCAGCGGACCTCACAGGCTGTTCGGATCTCGGACGGTTCTCAGAGCAGCTCCTGGCCGACATTCTCACTGCTGGACTGGGGCCTGGAGACTGAGGTGTGGTGGCAGGTCCACCTTAAGGGGCCACCTGCACCTCCTGCTGTGTTTGAGTCTACTGCAGGCACTCTGTCCATTTCCTTAAGAACAGTCCTTCGCTCACCTTGATGCCCTCCAGGAACTGGTCCCTTCTGATAACATGCCCAAAATATCATCATCCTTGTGTCCAAGGAACATCCTCACTGAAGGAGTTGCTTGGATTGAGAGAAAGTAAGCAGAGAAAGGGTCTGTTACAGAGAAACTCTTCTAAATTTTTATTTTATTAGTTTTTGGTATGTTTCCCATCAAATCGTATCTGTCTGGTATTAGGAAGAGATTGCCCCTCCTATTCCAGCAGAGCATCTAGTAGATTCGAACCACGTACCTCTGGGATTGCAGTGCAGCTTGTTTAACATAAGAAGGATGTGGGTAGGGAGCTCTGGTGGCCTAGTGGCAGGAAGCTGCACTACAATCCCAGAGGCCCGTGGTTCAAATCCATCAGATGTTCTGCTGGAGAAGGAGGGACAATCTTCTGTACCAGTCAGATAAATTTGACATTTCATGCACAAAAAATAATAAACGTGACACACCTCAGAATACAGTCTCTTGCTGTCTCAAAAATTCAGGGATGGATGTGGTCTTGTGAATTGGATCCACAAATAAAACACAGTAAACAACATCTTAACCTTGTGACTCTAGTCCAAGTATTTTCCCACTTGTAACACCACTCACATAAAAGCTAGGAGGACATAGAGGGCAGGTGGATAGCTCCTCAACGCTTCTTACCCTCTTGACATTTTGCCAGCAGATACCTCCCTGCAGGTCAAAAAAGTGCAACATCTGACCACTTCTTAGAAAGTAGATAATGCAAAGATTATCTCAAGGAAATAGTGTCAGGGGCTCATCCAGACTCTGGCTCCAGTTTATGTTGTTGTTACATTGTTTGGTGCCTAAGACTCATAGCGAGCCTATGTACAACAGCCTGAAAACCTGCTCTATCCTGTGCCAATCTCACCGTCTCAGACACGCCCACCTCCATTACCCCAGTCATTGAATCGATCCATCTCATCGAGGGTCTTCGTTTCCTGCGCTGTCCCTCCACCCTCCCAGGCACGACGTCCTTCTCTGAGGACCCGTCCTTCCTTGCAACATGTCCAAAGTACGTCAGGAGCTTCAGAATCCTTGCCTTCAAGGAGCAGACTGGTTTAACCCTCTCTAGGATGAACCTGTTTGTTTTCTTAGCAGTCCATCACATATTTAATACTCTTCTCCAAGACCACAGCTCAAAGGCATCAATTCTCCTTCTATCGTCCCTAGCCACTGTCCAGCTCTCTGATGCATGGCAAGTGATACAGATTCTGTAAAACTTTGAATTCTGTTCTACATTTCTCCCCTTTTGATCAGGATTCTTCAGGTCTTTGAGAGCACAGGGGAGAGGAACCTCTAAGGCCCTGACTTGAGACAGGAACCAGTGAACAGACTCACAGCATCCCCCTGTACATCAGAGTGCGGTTCGGTTGGGTTTTCAGTGGCTGCTTTTTCTTCCTGGGTGCCTGGCAGCCATGAACCCCTTGGCTCTCAATGAGTGTGCATTCACTGTGTGGCTGGGGGACCCCTGTGGCCTTTCAGGGAGGACCACAGCGGGGTGGGAGGTGCTCCTGGGGTGGCTGCAAGTTCCATGTCTGGTTCTAATGTGGCAGGAACAAAGGCCTGGATTGCCCTGCTCATCCCAGTCTGCAGGGCCCGTGCGCCCCCTGCCTGCTGCATCCAGAAGCACAGCCCAGCGCTTACAGAGTCCAGGCCTGGGAAGGGCTGAGGGGCTGGGTGGTCTCAACAGTACAGTCAGTGGGCAGACAGAGGGACACGTGGGGCCTTTGATGTACGGAGTGACAGGTTACAAGATTGAACGCGCTCCCAGTCCCGTGGTCAGGGCGAGGTGGAGGCATCACTGGGATTGGTGTCACTCCTCTACCCCCGGGATCTCCTGGCACGGACCATACAGAATCTGTAGTCACGCTCATTAGCTGCTTAAATCAGGATGTAAATACAGTTGTAAACTCCTCACACGTAGTATTTCTCGACTATATTACTCTTGTTATGTGCCGTTGAATAGACTGAGACTCATGGCGACGCTGTGTTCATCAGCTCCGAACCCTGCTCTATCCTGAGCCAGTCTGTCTCTGACACACCTTCCCCTATTACCCCACTTACGCATCGCATCGGGGTCTTCCTCTCTTGTGTTGTCCACTCTTCCAAGCTGGATGTCCCCCTCCAACGACTGGTCCCTCCCGGCCGGCCATGTGTCCAAAGGATGTGAGACGGAGCTTCAAAATCCTTGCCTCTAAGGAGCGGCCTGGTTGCACCCTGTCCACGACAGACCTGTCTGTTCTCCTTGCTGTCCGTGGTGTGTCCAACACTCTTCTCCAGCACCACAGCTCAAAGGCGTCGCTTCTTCTCTCGCCTTTGGTCACTGTCCAGCTGTTACACAGCCACTCATCCCAAAACACCTTTACAGAAAGTGGACTCTTTCCGATTCACACCGACCCCACTCCGGGTCTCTGAGGCCATAAATCTTTGTGATTGACCATCTCTCCCCTGGAGCAGCTGGTGAGCAGCCTGGCACGTGATGCACCACGATGGCAGAGCTCCTATAAGTGAATGGTGGCTAAAAATAATCTCATTTCCACTTATTCCTCACGTTACTAGCAACCGGGTGGAAACCTTGTTGCATTTTTTCTCCCTGCTTTAATTAAGGAGCCCAGGTGACTATAGGTTAAGCAATGGACTGGTAACTGAAAGGTTGGCAGTTCGAATCCATCGATCCCTTAAAGAGAGAACGACGGGCCATTTATGCTTACAAGGATTAAAGACTCAGAGCTACCACCCCGCAGGCGTTCTGTCCGACGGGGTCACTACAGGCTCAACCCAGCAGCGGCTGCCTCATTACTATTTCACTCTCAGAGTTCTTGATGTACGCATACAAACATAACCTGCCATAAACACTGTGGAGAGTGGGACAACATCAGCAACTATTTAAATAGCATCTTATTTTTTTTAAAAGTAGCCATGGGATCCGGCGTGCTCATGGCACTTTATAGCTGAGTAACAATGGCAGCTCTGTCATATGACATTGCAAAAACTCCAAACCAGGGAGGGATTGCACAATAATGAAAGAACTTTTTTCTTTTACTTTTCAAAGAGAAGAGCTAACCGTGTGTGTGTGTGTGTGTGTGTGTGTGTGTGTGTGCAGGGAGAAAAGTGCAACAATGAATGAATGGAAATCCAAAGTCTCTGTAAACTTTCAATAAGCTCAATTAAAAAAAAAATTTAAAACCACCCCAAACCAGCTCCACAGCCTCTCAACGCTCGGGTGTCCATTTATCAGAGGTGTAAGCCGAGACCCCAGCTTCTCCCAATGGCCCCTGAATGAGCCCAGCTTCTCCTGCAGACAGAGGTGGATGGTAAGCAGATCCTGAAGAGACTCAGGCCAGGCGAGGGGACGGGGCTGCCAGGAGGCACGTCACTGCTCAGTGCCCGGGAGGAAGCGGGCTGGGGCTGGCTGTTAGGGGAAACGCCTCTGTAAAGGTTCAGAGGTCAGCCCAAAGCTGGGGTGTCACAGCAAGAGAAGACTAGAGACGTGTGGGGTGCAGGCCCCCAGAAAGAGACAACCCAGAGAATCTGCCTCCCCAGGCAATCTCCAAGCAAGAGCTGGGGTGTCCACAACATCACCCCCAGCTTACGAGGGGCCCTGTCTTCTGCTGAAAGAGAGGGGCTTCTCTCACTCTGAGAGATGCTGGCTGGGAGATGTCCACGTGTGAGAAGGCCAAGGGGTCCTGGCGCTTTATGGTAAAGGGCCTTGTCCCCCTTCAGGACGTGCTGGCCGCTGCCCCTCACCCCAGAAGTACAGAAGTGTCCTTTTAGGGAAGTCCTGAGTCCCCAGGAGAGGAAAGGGAGGGGCGGAGACTCCAGTGTCCCCAGGGAGGGGCGACCACGCCGCGTGCGGGCCACTGGAGAGGGTGTCTGCCTTGCAGAGGCCGCTCTCGGAGGGGTCAGTTCCACAGCAACGTCAGGGCGCCGGCCAGGGCGCTCTCCGAGGCCTCGGCCAGGTACTCACAGCACAGCCAGTCCTCCAGGCCCGGCGCCTCGCCGCCCGCCGCCCGCTCCGCCAGGTGCAGCGTCAGCAGCGCGCGGCGCACCCGCAGCCAG